AGCGCACCCACGGCCAGATTCAAGCGCTGGCCGAAGTGGTGAGACAGAACAAATCTGAGAGCAATAGTAACATCGAGTCTCTGCGCAATGATGTAACAGCAGTTCAAGCACAAATAGAACTACATTCGCATGATATGTGTGAGAGGATGTCCACGTTCGAGACCAGAGTGACAGATTTGAGGGTCATGACGGAACAGCAGCAGATTAAAGTAAGTTCGGAAATTGAGAAGGTTAATTATAGAGTAACCAACGTGTGTGACGAATTAAGGGGCCAGCTTGAACTCTTAAAGAACTCGAATCAGGAGTGTAATAAAGGCAAAGATGCTAACACTAGTGACGTCATGCCTGACAGCTGTCGAACAAACACTTCGAGTGGACATGCCCCGGCGACTGCTTGTATAAATACCAGTAATGTCAACGGCCACTCAAACGGTGGGCCGCAAGTTAGGTATGTAACTGGAGTAGGTCTAGGAGTAGGCCAGCAAAGTCAATCCCTCACTAATGATTCTAGTAAGGAAATCACAGGCAACGATAACAACTGGGGATTTGTCAAAGGGACTCTGAACAACTCCCTCGATCTAGCTTTGCCAATTTTCGCAGGACGACCGGAGCAGAATGCCAAAGCCAATTTAAATGCCTTGATAGAATTAATACAAATTAAGAATGTCCCTCCACCGCTTCACTTAGCAGTGGCGAGATGCTCTATGAACGGTATTTCAGTCACCACATGGGCTGACGTTATATGCGATCAACTGGAAACGTTCGATGACTTTCAGGATGCCTTCCTAAGCAAATTCTGGAGCCCACAGTGTCAAGCCAAGGTTAGATTAGAAATATACCAAGACCGGTATGATCCGCGAGGGGGGTTGAGTTACGGCGATCACTTGCTGAAATACGCTGTCAAGGCCAAGTACTTAGAACCCTCAATGTCCAATTTCGAATTTCTAAATGCTTTAAATGAACATTACCCTATCAGCGTAAGGAAAGCGTGGATCGTTGCCAAACCACGGAATCTGCAGGACGCGGCGGAATTTCTAACCGACGTGATGAGTCTCGAAGAGAACCCGGAGACGCTAGAGCCGAGACGACCCATATACCAAGGACAACGCGATAATTACAATAGGCAGCGTTCGGACCCACGAGATGACCGCCGAGGGAGGTGGAATAGGAACCAAAGGTACGCGGGGAGTTATGAAAGCGGAAGTGACGAGCGCCACGCTTACAGGAACCAGGAGTGGCAAGGACGAGGGAGCTATCGCGGAGAAACCCGGAATCACGACCCAGACAGAGACGGGGGCAGGAGGAATCAAGCTGCGGCCGCGCCCACCCCATCATACGGCATGGAAACGAGAGATCGACAAGACCGGCGGGAGGAAAACAGAAATTAGGCGCTATAGCGGCCAATATGGCGTCTACTGGCACGACAACAGGGGCCGATGTAACTGGATGCGAGGTTAAACTCCCGAAAGAGCGACAGAATCCGTATAAACAATTCGCAGCTTCCGGCGAGACCGAAATTAATCGTGACGACGTAAGTGTATACTTAATTAATGCCGGAGAACTGACTACCTGTCCACGTGTTAGAGTGGCATTTGGAAACTTCAGTTGCGACTTTGTCATCGATACGGGATCCCAGGTATCGGTCTTATCCGAAGAAATTTATCGGAAGCTCAAACTTCAAAGTGAGCCCATGCAAGAATTACCTGTGCAGTCAGTGGTACTCATGAGAGCTTTTGGAAACAAGACTTCGAGGGTAAGAAAACAAGTGCTAATACCTTTTCGGATTGCTGATTGTGAGTTTGAAAATAATTTTCTTATCTGCCCTCAGGTAGTCAGTCCGGGCTTATTGGGAGCTGATTTTTGTATGCCTATAAATTTTCCATTGATTTGGGAGAAAGCTGCATGGCACGAACCGTACAAGGCGAAGAGCTGAGGATAACTAAATACCCATTCGTGCAGAACTACGAGCATCTTAAGAGGAGTGAAATAGCTTTGACTGAGGGGAATGATAATGAGGAAGTCTGTATTCATAGAATTGTCAGCAACGGGAAATTATTGTTGCGGCCAACCGTCGAGCGAACGCAATCTTGGTGTGGGGAAAGCGACAGGTGTCCTGGACCGCCTTGCGCAGGGAAATGGCGAGATGAAAATGGGTACGGAGCGGCGGGCTGTTAGAGAAACAGGGGAGAGGACGTCGTCTCTGACGATGATGAAATAAATGGGAATGACGAGGAAGATAGCGACGAGGGGCCGGTCGACGACGAAATCGAAGAAGACAATGTTGATGTTGAGCCGAGGCTTAAGAAAGTAAGTCAGGATGGGATTATAGGAGAGCGACCTATGCGACGTCATACGGAAAGTGAAGACATGATCAGCCGAACCTTGGAAACAATGGAAGCTTTGAACCCAGACCAGAAGGTCGAAGTGGGGGAGATCTTGAGAAAATACCACCGATCCTTTTCTTCGATACCGGGATCGTGCATCGACTATGAATATGAATTTGAAGTGGTGTGTCATGTGCCCTTTTCAGCCAAGGAACGCCCGATTCCGTATGCAATGAGAGAGGCCGTACGCGAACAGATTAATCTGATGATGGAGCAGGCGATTATCGAACCGGCCACATCGCCCTACTCCAACCCACTCGTGATCGTCCCAAAGGCTAATAAAGCGCCCCGCATTTGTCTGGATGCTCGACGTCTAAACGCGGTTACCATCGCCGACTCCGAAAGGAGCTATTACAACAATTTAATGGGGTAGAATTCCTGTCTTGCTTAGACCTCACGGCCGCTTTCTTGCAAATATCAATGAAACTGACGTGCCGGAAATACACTGCGTTCCTCTTTAATTCTCAACAATATCAGTTTTGCCGGATGGCCTATGGCCTTAAGAACAGTGGCTGCGCCTTGATTAGAGCAATGCGGCGGATATTTGGGCCGGAAACCCACAGTTACATGTGTCAATATATCGACGACCTCTACATACCTTCGAGGTCCTACGAGCAACATAAGCGGCATGTCGACTTCTTTCTCAGAAGACTTACGGAAAACGGGCTTACCATAAATTTGAGCAAATGTAAATTTTTCAGAAAATCAGTAAAATTTTTGGGGCATGTC